AATGATCCCTTCATACATCTGTGGTATCAGCTGTAATGTCTCTCACTCGCTCTTTCTTTTTTTTTTATTTCTTTGGGTACAGGGATCGAACTCGGGACCTTGCACTTGTGAGGCAGGTGGCAGCACCACTGAGCTAAATCCCCAGCACAATGTCTCTTTTCTAAATCTAATTTTATTTGGGTCTTTTGTGGTATCAGTTGTAATGTTTCTTTTATTCATTTCTAATTTTACTTAGGTGTTCTCTGTTTTTCTTGGTTTGGATACAATATAAGTACTCAAAGATATGAATTAATTAAATTACAGTGCTTGAATATATTGAATGTCACTCAGCCAATAAGATCATCCCTTATAATAATACTTGATACAGGAAAACTCTTATAAAAAGCAAGAAACAAAACCACAATGCATATACTTTTTTTAAAGGATGTTTTTATATTAAGAGATTTTTAAAAAATGAAAACAAGGGTACCAATATTTTAAGTTATTTCTAGTTGAAAACTATAGATGATTTTCACTATCATTTCATACTTTTGCTACCTTTTACAAATGTAACAAAATATCAAAATATTAAACTCAAAATTAAGTTTAAAAGATAAACTGAAGTAGTCAAAATAGAAATGCATTTTGAAAACAATTCCCTTAATTAAAATTATTTTTCCTATGATATTGCTAATTTTATTTCAACATAATTTGTACCTGTAATTCTTTGTTACTGAAGGCATTTCTTGTCTTAGAAAAAACTGAAATAATCTACCTTACCTAAAATAAATCATTTAATGTTCATCTATATGTCATTTATATTATAGCAAAATTCCAGAAAGTAATTAATATATAAGATGATCTATTCAAGTGAAGCCATCACAAGGCAAGAAACTAAAAGGAGAAGGTGAAAAAGTAAAAAGAGCCAACAAAAGGCCAATAATAAGTCAGTACATATCAGTTATAACCATCAATGTCAATGGCCTCAACTCACCAATCAAGAGAAATAGACTGGCAAAATGGAAAAAGAAGCAAAATCCAACAATATGTTGTATACAAGAAACACACCTAGTGCAAAAAGAAGCCCACAGACTGAAAGTGAAAGGATGGAAAACAATTCTCCATGTGACAGGAGCCCAGAAAAAAGCGGGGGTAGCAATCTTATTTGTAGACAAAGTAAATTTCAAACCAAAACTGATTGTAGTATTATTGATGTAGGACAGTACTGTATCATACCTCTGTGAATGTAAAATATCTTGTACCTGCTTTATGATACATAGTAGTGACCATGCTTTATAAGAGCTATATTTAATGATATTACTCTAGAATGTTCTCTTTCCAGATGATGATTAAGATGCTAAAAAAAAAAAAATGGTCCCAGGCACCACAACAGCAACAGAAATTTGCTGTTTTCTGGATATTATTCTTTTCTTTGATTTTTTTTTTAATGGAATGTGCTGAATGTCTGTAATTTTGTACAGATGACCGCAGAACATGGAAAAGCTGTTGCTGCTAGTGATGCATAACATACTGCTATTATTGGTCTTTTTATATAAATATAAATATATATATATATACATATATATAATTTGAATTTTTGGAAACTTTAACTGTGCTGTCAACTTTGGAAAAAGTTATCCCAATTTACTGTGTTGATTTGGCATTGTACAGAAATGGACAGCCATATTGGTCTAGAAATGTTAATTATTTAATTCTTATTTTTTATTTTTTTTCCATTTGTACAGGGTAACACACTGTATTAAATATGTAAGGTCATATCTATGTGGGTTTGAATACAGAAACTAATAAAGTATTCTCTAAATAATGAAAAAAATAATAGGATAAGACTACAAGAGCAAGAAGCAATTTAAATATGTTAAAGGACCATTTTCTTCTTCAGAATTAAGGATTATTTTAATCTTACATCATTGCCTTTTCTTTTTTACTTTCCTTTTTAGTTTTATTTTAAGATTCCCTATTTTTAATGTTCATACAGAGACTTCTTTAACTGAAATACCGAATAGTTTCTCTGGTGTGAAAAACTATAATAGTACACAGGATCCTAATGAGATAATTAATAATGTGAAATAGGAAGTAAAGGGCTAAAGGTGTAGGGAAAGTGGGAAGGGTGGGGGAAAGGTAATAAGGGAGAGGAAAAAAATATGAGAAATTGAAAAAATGGAAATAGTGTTTGTAAATGGGGAGGGGAGGAGGGGGTGAAGGGAGGGCAGGGACAAGGGGAAAAAATGAGAATCAAGACCTATCATGTAAAGGTACAGGATTCCAATAATGAATGTAACTGTATTGTATACCTAGATTGTACCAATAAACTCAATAAAAAGAAAACAAAAACAAAAACAAGTGAAGCCATCAAAGAAAACAATGATTTAAACATAAAAAAATGTAAGTCAAGAACAAGGAGACAGCCTCAATTATATGGGAAAACTGTTCTCTAAATATTAAAAATAAATTATAAAGTAAAAGCCAAGACTTGAAACAGACTAAATCACAGAATAAGAATAAAATTAAACCCACACAATTTTGAATAGGAAATGAGTACAGATGACTAAGAACAAAGAACAAAGGCTAATTATAGCTTCTCCCCAAAAGACATAAAGTAAGATTTGAAAGCCCTTTGAAAAATCTAAAATATAAGTTGACATATTAGTAACAATAAAAGATACTTTGATTTTATGTAAGTTTCATATTGGCAATTACAATTACTCATAACACCACCAAGAGACAGGGAATAAGTAGCAAAACAAAACAAATAAAATATCTGTTCAGTCAAATCAATGGATACTGCTAAATCAGTGTTTAGTTTACTTTTGTTTTGTTTGAGACAAGTCTCACTACGTAGTTCAGACTGGCCTTGAACTCACTAAATAGCCCAGGCTGGCCTCCGATCTCAGCCTCCCAGGAGCTGAGATTGCAGGCTCATGCCACCATTCCCAGTTTAAATCATTTTATAATATTGAATGTCTCCTTCTTGTGAAGTACTACTTTTAAATTCATTATCTTGAATTAGTAAAAACAACTCTGCAAAGTAGATAGTGTTTAATGGGTCAGAAATCAAAGAGAAACTGCCTAGCATCCAAGAGTCTTGCTTAGTGTCACAGCCAGAAAATGGCAGGGTTAGGGTTCAAATCCAGACCTAGCTGATGCCAGAGGCCATATCTATTTACAGAATGCAAACTTTCAGTTCTTCAACCTAGACGATCTGAGTATTCTGTAGGCCTTCGACAGCTGCCTAAAACTTTTTTTTTTTTTTTTTTTTTTTTGGGTACTGGGGATCGAACTTGAGTCCTTGAGCTTACGAGGTAGGCGGTGGAACCACTGAGCTAAATTCCTGGCTCCTAAAACTTTTATTTTAAATAAAATGTCAGCTTGTTGTTATCTAGTTTCATCCACCACAGAAGTAATGATCAAACTGAAGGGGGTGATGTCAGCAAAGAACTGTTAAAATCAAGAAGAGAAAAACTAACATCACAGATGTGATTTAATATAAATAACTGATTCCTAACCTGGATTTGGTGACACACGTATGTAATCCCAGCACTCTGTGAGGCTGAGGCAAGAGGATCACAAGTTCAAGCCCAGCCTGTAAAATTTAATGAATTAGTGAGACCCTGTTTCATAATAAAAAGGGCTGGTGATGTAGCTCAGTGCAAGGTCACTGGGTTCAATTCTCAGTGCACACACACATACATACATAAATGCACACATAAGTAAAACTGAATCCTGCTACCCTTCATTATTCAAAACAAATAGCATAATAAGCACTGCTATTTAGTTTAGGATAAGTCAGAAATCTCAGTAACCTGGACCTACTACTTTAACATTTCTAGACATTAGTACCATCACCTAGAAAAGAGGCAAAATAATAGTACATACCTTATAGAGTCGTTACCTAACTAAATTAGACAATGGAAATAATGCCCTTAGCACGGTGCTTGGCATATAGTTAGTGCTCACAGGAAGTGAAATAATCACAGGCCACATATTATTTAAAAATAGAAAAATATTCATGTGAGTAAATTATTGTTTAAAATAGTTAAAATATTTTGGTCTTAAAGACTAAATTTTTTGAAAATGCACTTTTATAATACTCTGTGCTAACAGGGATAATTAAGGTTAATTGTATTCTTAAAAGGCAAATGTATATTGCCTTTCAAGAAATAACAGGGTACAGGGCCAGGGATTCAGTTCAGTGGTTCTGCTGCCTGTCTTGCAAGTGCAAGAACCAATCCCCGGTACCAAAAAGAAAAAAAAGAAATTATACAGTGCATTGTAAGTTAATTTTTAAAATGTTGATATCAATTAATTTTGCTATGGAATTAAAAAATGCTTGTGATATGGAATTAAAAAATGCTTGTGATATGCTTTAGCTTAAAAATCTATGTATACATTTTGTACAGTATAACAACATGAATAAAAAATAGCTGGGACAATACTGAAATATATACCTAAATTACTTCTAGGTAAGGACATTTCACTTGCCCTTACTTTTCTCCACACTTAATCAATGTGTATCCCTTCAATTTAAAATATAAGTAGACTGTCACAGATTTTAAAACTTAATAGTGAATTCAAACATGGGATGAAAGTACTCTATTTGCCAATGGGGCACAATCAATACAACTTTTTTTCTTTTTTTGTCAAAACTTTTTCACTATCAAAAACTTTAAAGCTTTGGATGTTTACTTCTAGGAGGAATCCATCCCCAAAATACCAATACAGAAAGAAAAAAAAATGTTACTGAGATTTTCAATCAAAAAATTTTGGAGGAGGGGTTGGGGACCTCGCTCAGTGGTTCCACTGCCTGCCTTAAAAGTGCAATGGCTGGAGTTCCATCCCTGGTACCCCCCCAAAAAAAACCTGGAGGAAAAAGCAATGTCTACAGAAATCGAATGGCTAGATAAAACAACACACTATTAGGAAGAAAATGTCTGAAATATTTTTAATATCCTGAGAAAATATTTAACATGCATTATATGAGAACAAAGAGGTGGAATTCAAACCTCTATTAACAGTATGATTCCAGAGTCCGTGGGTTTAGCTCAGTGGTGCTGCTGCCTGCCTTGCAAGAAAAAGGTCCTGAGTTCGATCTCCTGTACCACAAAACAAAAACCATATGAAGTCAAATATACAAAAAATGGTGTATCTTCTTTAGAAGCAAATTCCTAAGAAAGATAATTCTACTATATTATTTAAACCTCACAGTAGATGACTTTTTAACATTTATTAAGCTACAGAGACCTTAACATTTGTTTTAAGTAGTAATGAGCTTAGGTAAGTTGGCACCCTCTGCCATTATTAACTGTGGGTCAGTGTTGCAGGCCCAAGAGGCATATCAGCACTTTAAACTCAAGAAGCTATTCTAGAACATTCAAATCAAATTTAAGATTTCATATAAAATCTCAGAATCTTAATATTTTAGGTTTAAATTAGAAATCCTGATCTAATATATTTTTATTATTCAATGACCATTTAATATTCTTCTTTCTGATACAAACTATAGCTCAATATTCTCATCCTTTTAATCACCACCCCTAATAATCGCAACATGCTCCAGATACTGACCCTTTATGCCCTCCTTTCCCACTAGTTCCTTGGCTCAAACACACTAGTAGCTTGGCCATGACTCCTATTGGGTCTACCTACCAGAATCCTACCCTTGGGGCTTTCTCCAGTGTCTCTCTCTCTCATTTCTTCACTCATGGCACTTAGTACATTCCACCTGGCATTATGGTCTATTTGTTCAGAGTGTATCCTATCAGAGGTCAGGGATATGCCCAGCACACAGATCAATACTAAATAATTACAGTTTTTGCCAATGGAATAGAAGTATAGCAGTTTCAAATGAGCAGTAACTGGCAAATTAGTTTATAATCTTACATTCCAAAGCTAAAAATATTTTTTAAATTCCAAACTTAATATCTTTTTAAAAAATGACTATTAAAGCAAAATGTAAGAATTCTAAGCCTACGTGGAAAAAAAAAATGAAAAACACTAAATGGGTATAAAGTGACAACACCTTTACATATGCTATAGTTAAAAGAAATGTAGAAACTATTGTGGTCTGGTAAAATGAAGGCAAGGTATCCTAACTGCAGAATGAGAAAAATACTTTAAAGATAATTTCTATTAACCACTTGGGGTCCTATTTGGAAGATGTAATACATTAAAAATAACTCCTGAGAAGCCTGCAATATAAGTTAAGATACTTTTATTATTCTAGTAATTATAACAAAAATTTAGTAAAAGAAAATGACTAAAAACTATCAGCATACAAACATTCCAAGTTTCTGTTTCCTGTCCTTTAATATTTTCCATTACACTAAAATAGTTCCTTAGACTTTCATCATTAAGTAGGTGGTTAAAAACGATTGTCTCTTTGTTCTTTTATTTACAAGTTTATTTTAGGTTAAGGGTATAAGGCTGGGGTTCGATTTCAACACAATCCCCTACTCCTGTAAAGTTCATCTTATTTTGGTGATGTTTAAATATTTTATGATGGACATATGCTAGAAGTAAACTTGTCACTTATTTTGAAAGTAAAACTTTCTTTAAATAAAAATACTCAAACATTTTGAATTATGGATTCATAGTGTATAGAACATTCTGATGTTTTGATAGTACTTTCAAGTAGCTAGATTTAGGTAACTTAAAATAAGCATGCCAAATTGGAAGAAAACAGTGAAGAAAGGTGAAAATCTGAATCAGTCATCTTCCTGGGCTTGTCACAGTAAGATTAATTTTATAAGTCTTCAGTGAAGCTATCCATACATTTGAATATCAGAGAATACTAAAATTAAGAAATTGCTTCTAAAATTTTTTTTCTCTCATTGAGTCTATTGGTACATTTTAGGGATACAGTACAGTTACATTCATTATTGTGATCTTGTACCTTTACATGACAGGTCTTGGTTCTCATTTTTTCCCCTTGTCCCTGCCCTCCCTTCACCCCCTCCTCCCCTCCCCATTTATAAACACTTTATTTCCATTTTTCATTTTCTCCTATTTTTTTTCTTTCCCTTATTACCTTTCTCCTACCCTTCCCACTTTCCCTACACCTTTAGCCCTTTTCTTCCTATTTCACATTAACCAGCATGTTTTGATTACCTGCTGTGTGTAAACTGCTGTTAAGGACCAGGGATGCCTTCACTCTTTGTTTATTACTCAGCTTATTTCATTGTAGTCGTGGTTGACATGAAATGGTAAAATATCTAATATGCCAGAAACACTCACGCTAGTTAATGCCAGGAAGAAGTCACTGGAATATTCCAAATCCTCCTTTGATCTTGTTTAAAATTAATTGTACATGTAAAAGATTAAGTAAATTAAAGTCATACACTTTGTACTTACGACTTCTCATGGTTCTTGGAAAGCCTAAATAATGTGCTTGAGAAATATCCTCTGTTTTCTGTACATATTAGCATGAGAAAATGAAAACTGAAGAAATAAGTAAAAAACTGAACAACTTTCTCAAGCTACTAAATATATAGTACTTAGGCCCAAGTATCACTGCATCTATTGTAAGATGTAAAAATTAAAAAAAGAAAAGAAAAAGACCCTGATGGGCCTGAAGATACTCCAACACAACCTTGCAACCAATAGGAAAACTTTCCCTAAATCTGGATTAGTGTTTTATGTCTTTATCACAAAACTCAAAGAGCACAAACATGTTAACGGACACCCAAATGGCTAGACACACAGTTTGAACAATCATCACTTGGAAGCAACTGCTGTTTTTAAAGACTCTTAAGGGGTAAAAGATAAAACAGTGAAGGGAAGAAAAGCGGGATTCATTTCTCTAAGCTATATTTGTAACGCCTCTTTGTAACAGGGAGTTAAAAATGTGGAGTAGCCGAGATGACAAGAACGCAGCCTGTAATGGGGAATTGGGTCGGAGCGTGAGGGGTGAGCGGAAGGGGTTCATCAGGACTGGCCGGGAGAGGCTGGAGGACTGGGTGAGAGGATGGATAACAAACGGCAAGGGCTGGGGCTGGACCCGAAATGTCGCAGGATGCCTCACCCCAGCGGCGCGCGCGGGTCCGTTTCCACCGAGGGCGCCCAAG